ACCAATTACATTACAAAACACTGACATTGTAGTTTGTATCTGGCAGGTTTCTTAAATTCACCCTGCCAAGGTATAGATTGCTGGCCTTATCATGTTATATACATATGGTTTCTTAAAACCTCCTCATAGAAACTTCCTTATTGGTCCCCTAGTGAGGATTCAATCTTGAATCGCTATTTTTCTCCGGGGTTTACTTTAAGCCCACACTAATAGCATTATTTTATTAACAAGCCAATCAGTAACCATTGATATTAATATGAAAATAGTTACTGCCATGAAATCCCTACCCAGCATCTTTAATACAGGACCATAGGCTCAATAAGCCTTTATTATGCATGAGTAGGGTTGCAAACCCCTACCAAGCAACCACCATGGGTGAGACCATACCATTCCAACCAAAGTGTTTTCCCATTCCCATCATGCCAGAGGATTGTCTATAAGGGGAGGAAATCTGCTCTACTATACAGTACATTACTTATTTTGCATACCGTGAATACTGACTGACCAACTGTGGGACCGAGACATAGACTGAGAAAGAGTGATGTGAGATGAGCTTGAGCTGAGTTTTCCTACAGTGTACAGAGAGCTGGTTGTAAGTCCGAGCGGCCGTTAAACAGCTATGTTGGTCAGTGAGGAGTAGCTGTATTACATTATTGCTTTTACGTTTTAGATTAGTTTTAACAAACGCAGCGACATGTGCCAGTGTCTTTGCACTTTCATTGCAATGAACTTTGTCAAAGTGCTTACGTATTCTGTTCTTCTTCTATGTTCAGATTCCTTGCAAGCACGTCTTCTGCTATGACTGTGCTCTGCTGCATGAGAAAAAGGCCGATAAGCTGTGCCCAGGGTAAGTCATCTTATTTTTTAGCCTCCCGTATATGATATTTTTATTAGTTACACCTAACTTATTAACCTCCCTCACATCAATGTCTTTACATAGACCTATAGAGATCATATAGAAGTGTTTTGTCATTTGTCTTTAAATCACACGTTCAGTATTTATTGTCCCTTTTATTTGCAGTAAATCTTTGTCAATTATCTCCCCAGTTTTATTTCTGTTGCCTTAGACTTGTCATGACATAGATCCCACATATATACACATAGGTGTAATTGTTTCTTTACTACTATATTCAGTGCTGTGCCTCACATGTGGTGTTTTTTGTTCTGCCACATTTAATGGTGGATCCTAAACAATGTGTGTATCATTTTTCTTTTATTTTGTCATGTAATGTCTCTCTTTCCCCTTCCCAAAAGAACACTTGTTGAAGAAGCTACTGACACCTATAAACGTGTGAGGTAGGTTTTTCGATAGAATAGTGTTTTTTTTTTCTTAAGGTCACAGGGTTGGTGGTGGAAATTGTTGGATTTTCTGTAAATGTTGTGTGTTCCGGACTATACTACAAGAACGGTGTACTCGGAGTAGATGTGGTCTTGCTGTGACACATGCCTGTTTAATATCACTGCAACTGGATATTTGTATTCCACTTGGTGTGAGTGTGACTGGATATCATTCAGCAGTAGAAGGCTGTTTTGTCCTATCCATGGGTTGTTTTTTGACTGATTTACGTTGTAAGCAGCTGAATCAACCAGTCTGAGGGTATGTTGAGTCTCAGTGGATCCCTTCTCATTACATGCATTTTGCATGTGGAAATCCCGGGGTGTAGTTATAAAACGTTTGCAGCGCGAATAGCTCTGCGCACGTCTTCGTTTTAGATTCACAGACCATTATGGCCACTAGCTGGAGCCGAGGAGAATAGGAAATTCCTATGCTCAGCTTCATCTAGTGGCCATAATGAGCAGCAAATCTAAAACACAGATGTTCGCAGAGCTGTTCACTCTGCATATGTTTTATGAATACACCACCCAGTGTTTAAATATCTCGGCACATATGTCTTCTGCTCTGAGTAAACACGTTCTGAAGATTATTCTTAAATGCAAATGTTAAAATTGAAATCAAAGCTTTGTTAGTTATAGCGTGCAAATTATGTGGACGTTTCTTATTTCTTTAAATGTATTTTGGGGTGATCATGAAAATATTCCAAAATCGCTGTTTAAGTGTTTGTATAGTGCCAGGCTGATCTTTACTTGTAGTTCCTGATAAGGTGCTGTAGTTTTACTCTTCTATAGCCAAAGTTTTGGATAGACTGTGAAAGGGTTAAAACCTGTCAGATTTGTATTGCTGTCTGCCTCTGTACTAGGTAGTTTCTCCTTCTGTAGTTGCACTGTTATTCACTGTAACCAGCTCAGCTAGTCGTCCGAAATCCATCATCTTGTGGTTGTCACTAGAACGAAGGTAGAGAGAAAATCTTCCAGCTGTTCTGATGGCAACTGGCGTGTAATGATTCTCCGTCTAGCTTCCTGATTGGTCAGGAAGATGACCAATGAGAAAGGTTGACGGCGAGTCATTACCCGCCCCCCTGGCTTCCTGATTGGCAAGAAAGCCTGCTCCATGCTCCCTCGTCAGATGGTGACGAGGGAGCATGGAGACGGCTTCCCGGCTAATCATTACACGCTGCCTGGCTTTTTTAATGGGACTTACGGTATCGGTGCGTCCCTTATTGTTTCTTAACCCTTGCAGTGTGGCTACCACCACGCTACAAGGTTTAAGTGCTCAATTTGGTCTATGGTGATGGATATCAGTTATACTCGCCCTACTGCAGCTGGCTTGCTGTTACACCCAGTACCTGGAGCCTCTCTCCCCCTCCGCTGCAGCAGTCTAAGGCCGGAACGCACTGCATCGCATTGCAACCGGCGTACTATTTCGTGGAGCTGGAGGGGGCGTGGCGGGCCATTGAAGTGAATGGCACCGTAGCCACGCCCTCCGGCCGCAATGCGATCGCCCGCACGGGATCGCAGGGCACATTGTGCCTGCGGTCCGGTCAAAATAGTGCCTGACGCATTTTGATCGCACTGCAGGCACAATGTGCGTTGCGATCCCGTGCGATCGCATTGCAACCAGAGGGCGTGGCTACGGTGCCATTCACTTCAATGGCCCGCCACGCCTCCTCCAGCCCGGCAAAAAAGTGAGCTGGCCGCGATGCAGTGCGTTCCGGCCAGAATCGGACCGGAACGCACTGCCCATGGTGTGAACTAACCCTCAAATAGAACTGCACTCCTTGCATGTAAGGCTGACCTTTACTGCAATGCACTTTGTCTTTCTTTGCAGCTCTGCCTCTTTTTAAATTGACCTGTCACAGAGAAATAAGGGGGGAAAAAATAGAGATTTGTTTAGAAAACTTGCATGTCAATTTGTTGCTATGATCTGTATGTGCAATTTAGTTAAATTGTTTGTAACTTAAAATATAGATTTCTTTCTCCTCCATTGAGGGACACAGGAAGTGTTCTACTGTCAGGTTGTACTGCCACCTACTGGAGGATTTGGCTCTGGCAAGAAAAAAAAATTGGTGGCCTGCCCAGAATAACCCTTCCCAGCATGCCTCACTTCTTTTTTTTTTTGGCTAGTGTCCTAGGATGATGGCCGTCTTTTTCTTCAGTTCTGATGAGAAAAGTCTATCCTTTTTTGTTAGCCATATTTCCAGTCAGGTTTCCAGCTGCATTGCTGCTGAGCTGGTCTCTCTATGCAGCTATCTGATTCTGCCTTTGCTCCGCAGCTTGATTTGGAGTGTCATACCAAGACCCTGCTAGGCCAGACGGAAACACCCAGAGGTGTCACAGGTTGGGGTTGCCAAATGTAGATCTCCTGTCATCCAGGTTCAACATCGGACCGGATTGTCTCCAGCTACAGGGATCCCCTTTCAGAAGCAGTTAATGCTTTGGTTACTCTGTGGGATCAGTACACTCTGATCTACAGCTACACCACTGATCTTCTGCCCCTGAAACTCCTTTGTCTGCTTTGCAGGATCATAATGGAGGGCATTTCATTGGCTCTCATAACTTCAGACTGGCCCAGGTGCTTGTGGTACTCCTGATTTGACTCCTGGCAGATGCTTCTTGGGCTATTTCAGATCATCCAGATCTTCTGTTTTGGGGTCCAGTTTACCGCATGGCTGTGAGAGACGGGCATCTCTGAAATCTCACAATGTTAAAACCTAAATCTACTTCTTACGTCTATCACCGTACCTGGAAGACATATTTTGTTGTATGGTTAGTGTGAGGTGAGAGTCTTTCACCCCAGGAAATTCAATGTGGGACCAATCCTTTCCCTCTTACAGATCAGAATAAGCGAATTGAGCAAGGTTCTGTTTGCAGGAGGTTCAGCTAACCCAGTGGGAAGTCGGCAAACCCTGAACATATAGCCAAACTTTAATGAAATCTATGGGAACCAAATCTTAATGTTTTCTGTCATTTTTCTAAGGCTGGATTCAGGTTGAACTTTCGTTCAACCAAAACCCAAATCTTAGTCCTATGTACAGATGAGTCTGGACCAGTATTTATCCTTAAGCGCCTTCAAGGGTCAGGGCTTTGCAGTTAAGATTTTGTTCCAGAGATTGACTTTCCATTCTTAAATCAAGGCATATATGCACGGTGTTTACCGTGTGGCTTCCCCTGTTCACTTCCTTGTGACCTTGTATGATCTGAACTTGTTCTCTTGGCATTTCATTTGTGCCTTTTTAAATGTATCAGGGCTATATCCCTTGCCACGCTCATGTTTCTTGTTGCCATCACCGCTGCGAGGCAAGTGGTAGCCTTTTTTCCTGTAAAGAACCCTTTCTGGTCTTAAACAAGCACAAGGTGGTATTTAGGTCCAGAACCTATTTCCTACCAAATGTAGTTTAGGCCTTTCACCTCAACCAGGACAATGTTCTTCTATCCCACTGTCTGGCTTTAGTTCATTAGAAGTAGATCTCCATCCATTGCATGGATGTAGTTCGGGCTCTTGCAGCCACTGTATTCTGTTACAACCACCGCTTTATGTATTTGCACATACTTTCCTAGACTTGTCTGTACGGGCAGTTTGTCAACCTACTGACTTGATGATATTCCCAGATAGTGTCCAACTCAGAGTAGAATCCAATGTAGTTTATTTGCCATCTCAATACAGAGGATGTGATTCCTTGTCATTCTTAGAGTGAAAAGACATTCCTATCTTTGGCATTAAAGGAGAACTATGGGGTTAAGTCTTTTCCCCATAGTTCTCCTTAGGGTAACGGGAGGACGCTAGTTTGTCACCCTAGGCTCAGTATACCGCGAGCTGTAGCTCAGTATAGCTCGCGGTATACTGAGACGCCGCAGTATACCGCGAGCTGCTGCTCGCCTAGAACTATGAGGTGAGTGAAAAGCAATCACCTCATAGTTCTCTTTTAATAACAAGACATACAAAGTAACAACTTCAGAACACTGAAGGGAATTGTCAGAAAAATGTAACCATTGTTACTAAGGGGATCCTGTAGGTAACTTGAAGGTATCTTTGTTACAGGACCTTTCTTTATAAAATCCTGTCCAGTGCAGTTGATTAGTTATGCCCAACCAACATATGGTCTCCAGAGTTCTTTGGAAATTAACAGCCAAAGCCTGAAGAACAAGGAACACTGAGGAGTAAAGGGCTCATCCCCACTTGACATTTTTTACCAGATGAATATTCAATTTAAATTCGAATTTTTAACCTAAAGCACACTTTTTATGTCAGGCTGTTGATCTTTTAAAGAGAAAATGCATCCTGGGTGCAGTTACACTTGTGTCAAAGTATGAGCGTGCAAGTATGCAGATCAGTTTTGTCTTCAGCTTTACTGGCTGCATGCTTTTTAAAGTTCAGTAAAAAGTACTTGAGCCGGAGGCGGCTACATTATTGGCAATTGCAAAAGGTCAGCAGGAGCAATCTTCTATTCTTGCTCAGTGTAGGTTTCCTTTTCATTTTAAATGTTTGCGCTTGGTAAATGCATGGAACACACAAAGCTTATCTTATATATGTTAGTCCTTGTTTTGTTAGGTTTTAGTTAGTACTGCAAATGCTGTATGCAAGTCTTCATAGTGGTTGCAGATTAGAAACGATAATCTTCTTGTTCCTTTTTACAGTTGCAACGATCCCGTCCAGCGAATCGAGCAGTGTGCCCGTGGAACTCTGTTCATGTGCAGCATTGTGCAAGGATGCAAAAGGACATATTTGTCCCAGAGGGACCTGCAGGCACATATTAACCACCGACATATGAGAGCGGCAAAACCAAATCGTCCACAGCCTGAACCAATCCATCCTCCAATGGCCCCACCACCTTCAGAAATGCCTGATCGTTTTATAATGCCCCCTGATAAGCACCACTTGAGTCATATGCCTCCTAAGGCGCACATACTGATGCCCCCACCACCAATTCAGCATGTGCCTCATGAGCATTTTAATCAACAGCATGAAGATATGCGTGCTTCCCCGGCAGAAATGTCTATGGCGCCACCTCCTCCTCGCCCAGTTAGCCAAGATGCTTTCCGAATTAATACTAGAAAACACAGCAATTTAATAACTGTACCTATTCAAGATGATTCTAATTCTGGGGCCAGAGAAGCTCCTCAGGGACCTGGTCCAGCTCTTCACCATCCTGAGTATCCTGGTCAACCTGTGGTATCACACCCTCACCATATTATGCCTCCACAGCAACATTATGCTCCTCCCCCTCCACCCCCTCCTCCAATTAATCATCCAATGCAACACCCACCTCAGGCTGCTGGTACACCTCATATGGTATATAGTCAAGGACCCCCTCCACCTATGACGTCTGCTCCTCCACCAATTACCCCTCCACCTGGACATATAATATCTCAGATGCCACCATACATGAATCATCCACCACCAGGACCTCCACCACCCCAGCATGGTGGTCCACCTGTAAATGCCCCTCCTCCACATCATTACAATCCTAACCCTTTGCCACAGTTTAATGAAGAGCAAGGAACTCTCAGCCCACCTTTCACACAACCTGGGGGCATGAGTCCAGGCATATGGCCTGCACCTAGAGGACCACCGCCACCTCCGCGAATGCAGGGTCCTCCGACCCAAGCACCTATTCCTGGACAGCATCATCCTGATCAGGCTCGGTACAGGCCCTATTATCAGTGATTTGTGTATACTGAACTTGCTAGATTTCTTTTTATGCTTCATTTGAGAACTTACATTAATATGTATAGACACTTTGTAACTTTGTTGAAGCTTCTTGTGCATACATTTATTAAGTTCGATATTCTCCTATTCCTAATTATGCCATTGTGCATACATAATGCAAAGTAATTTTTTTTGTGTATGTGTTCTCATTGTATAGCACTAACAATTTTCTTTGTCTTTTACCACTTCTGAATCTTTTTTGCTACAGCACGATTAGGTATCATTTGTGATGCTTTTCTGAATGTATGTTTAGATGTACAGTTGTATCCTTTTACTTTCCAAGATGGTGTGAATAATATGCAGTAACAACTGCTTTATTGTATCCTGGTATTTTTTACCAGTGGTCAAATAAAAACTGTTCCCACAAGTTTCGCAGCTTTCCCGCACATTTGTTTTCAGTGCAAGCTGAACAAAGTCTGTACTTTTTATGTATATAGTTGGTATGATAAGTCACATTTTATTTGTTTAAAAGACAAAAAAAATCATGAAAGAATACAAGTTCAATCTAAGAGGAGTGTGTGGGGATCACAATCATTTTTATTAATGTATCTTCTGAGGTAATATATTTTGTTTCTCCATATCAATAGACTAAGATCCCTACATTGAAGTGAATGGCACCGTAGCCACGCCCTCCGGCCGCAATGCGATCGCCCGCACGGGATCGCAGGGCACATTGTGCCTGCGGTCCGGTCAAAATAGTGCCTGACGCATTTTGATCGCACTGCAGGCACAATGTGCGTTGCGATCCCGTGCGATCGCATTGCAACCAGAGGGCGTGGCTACGGTGCCATTCACTTCAATGGCCCGCCACGCCTCCTCCAGCCCGGCAAAAAAGTGAGCTGGCCGCGATGCAGTGCGTTCCGGCCAGAATCGGACCGGAACGCACTGCCCATGGTGTGAACTAACCCTCAAATAGAACTGCACTCCTTGCATGTAAGGCTGACCTTTACTGCAATGCACTTTGTCTTTCTTTGCAGCTCTGCCTCTTTTTAAATTGACCTGTCACAGAGAAATAAGGGGGGAAAAAATAGAGATTTGTTTAGAAAACTTGCATGTCAATTTGTTGCTATGATCTGTATGTGCAATTTAGTTAAATTGTTTGTAACTTAAAATATAGATTTCTTTCTCCTCCATTGAGGGACACAGGAAGTGTTCTACTGTCAGGTTGTACTGCCACCTACTGGAGGATTTGGCTCTGGCAAGAAAAAAAAATTGGTGGCCTGCCCAGAATAACCCTTCCCAGCATGCCTCACTTCTTTTTTTTTTTGGCTAGTGTCCTAGGATGATGGCCGTCTTTTTCTTCAGTTCTGATGAGAAAAGTCTATCCTTTTTTGTTAGCCATATTTCCAGTCAGGTTTCCAGCTGCATTGCTGCTGAGCTGGTCTCTCTATGCAGCTATCTGATTCTGCCTTTGCTCCGCAGCTTGATTTGGAGTGTCATACCAAGACCCTGCTAGGCCAGACGGAAACACCCAGAGGTGTCACAGGTTGGGGTTGCCAAATGTAGATCTCCTGTCATCCAGGTTCAACATCGGACCGGATTGTCTCCAGCTACAGGGATCCCCTTTCAGAAGCAGTTAATGCTTTGGTTACTCTGTGGGATCAGTACACTCTGATCTACAGCTACACCACTGATCTTCTGCCCCTGAAACTCCTTTGTCTGCTTTGCAGGATCATAATGGAGGGCATTTCATTGGCTCTCATAACTTCAGACTGGCCCAGGTGCTTGTGGTACTCCTGATTTGACTCCTGGCAGATGCTTCTTGGGCTATTTCAGATCATCCAGATCTTCTGTTTTGGGGTCCAGTTTACCGCATGGCTGTGAGAGACGGGCATCTCTGAAATCTCACAATGTTAAAACCTAAATCTACTTCTTACGTCTATCACCGTACCTGGAAGACATATTTTGTTGTATGGTTAGTGTGAGGTGAGAGTCTTTCACCCCAGGAAATTCAATGTGGGACCAATCCTTTCCCTCTTACAGATCAGAATAAGCGAATTGAGCAAGGTTCTGTTTGCAGGAGGTTCAGCTAACCCAGTGGGAAGTCGGCAAACCCTGAACATATAGCCAAACTTTAATGAAATCTATGGGAACCAAATCTTAATGTTTTCTGTCATTTTTCTAAGGCTGGATTCAGGTTGAACTTTCGTTCAACCAAAACCCAAATCTTAGTCCTATGTACAGATGAGTCTGGACCAGTATTTATCCTTAAGCGCCTTCAAGGGTCAGGGCTTTGCAGTTAAGATTTTGTTCCAGAGATTGACTTTCCATTCTTAAATCAAGGCATATATGCACGGTGTTTACCGTGTGGCTTCCCCTGTTCACTTCCTTGTGACCTTGTATGATCTGAACTTGTTCTCTTGGCATTTCATTTGTGCCTTTTTAAATGTATCAGGGCTATATCCCTTGCCACGCTCATGTTTCTTGTTGCCATCACCGCTGCGAGGCAAGTGGTAGCCTTTTTTCCTGTAAAGAACCCTTTCTGGTCTTAAACAAGCACAAGGGGGTATTGAGGTCCAGAACCTATTTCCTACCAAATGTAGTTTAGGCCTTTCACCTCAACCAGGACAATGTTCTTCTATCCCACTGTCTGGCTTTAGTTCATTAGAAGTAGATCTCCATCCATTGCATGGATGTAGTTCGGGCTCTTGCAGCCACTGTATTCTGTTACAACCACCGCTTTATGTATTTGCACATACTTTCCTAGACTTGTCTGTACGGGCAGTTTGTCAACCTACTGACTTGATGATATTCCCAGATAGTGTCCAACTCAGAGTAGAATCCAATGTAGTTTATTTGCCATCTCAATACAGAGGATGTGATTCCTTGTCATTCTTAGAGTGAAAAGACATTCCTATCTTTGGCATTAAAGGAGAACTATGGGGTTAAGTCTTTTCCCCATAGTTCTCCTTAGGGTAACGGGAGGACGCTAGTTTGTCACCCTAGGCTCAGTATACCGCGAGCTGTAGCTCAGTATAGCTCGCGGTATACTGAGACGCCGCAGTATACCGCGAGCTGCTGCTCGCCTAGAACTATGAGGTGAGTGAAAAGCAATCACCTCATAGTTCTCTTTTAATAACAAGACATACAAAGTAACAACTTCAGAACACTGAAGGGAATTGTCAGAAAAATGTAACCATTGTTACTAAGGGGATCCTGTAGGTAACTTGAAGGTATCTTTGTTACAGGACCTTTCTTTATAAAATCCTGTCCAGTGCAGTTGATTAGTTATGCCCAACCAACATATGGTCTCCAGAGTTCTTTGGAAATTAACAGCCAAAGCCTGAAGAACAAGGAACACTGAGGAGTAAAGGGCTCATCCCCACTTGACATTTTTTACCAGATGAATATTCAATTTAAATTCGAATTTTTAACCTAAAGCACACTTTTTATGTCAGGCTGTTGATCTTTTAAAGAGAAAATGCATCCTGGGTGCAGTTACACTTGTGTCAAAGTATGAGCGTGCAAGTATGCAGATCAGTTTTGTCTTCAGCTTTACTGGCTGCATGCTTTTTAAAGTTCAGTAAAAAGTACTTGAGCCGGAGGCGGCTACATTATTGGCAATTGCAAAAGGTCAGCAGGAGCAATCTTCTATTCTTGCTCAGTGTAGGTTTCCTTTTCATTTTAAATGTTTGCGCTTGGTAAATGCATGGAACACACAAAGCTTATCTTATATATGTTAGTCCTTGTTTTGTTAGGTTTTAGTTAGTACTGCAAATGCTGTATGCAAGTCTTCATAGTGGTTGCAGATTAGAAACGATAATCTTCTTGTTCCTTTTTACAGTTGCAACGATCCCGTCCAGCGAATCGAGCAGTGTGCCCGTGGAACTCTGTTCATGTGCAGCATTGTGCAAGGATGCAAAAGGACATATTTGTCCCAGAGGGACCTGCAGGCACATATTAACCACCGACATATGAGAGCGGCAAAACCAAATCGTCCACAGCCTGAACCAATCCATCCTCCAATGGCCCCACCACCTTCAGAAATGCCTGATCGTTTTATAATGCCCCCTGATAAGCACCACTTGAGTCATATGCCTCCTAAGGCGCACATACTGATGCCCCCACCACCAATTCAGCATGTGCCTCATGAGCATTTTAATCAACAGCATGAAGATATGCGTGCTTCCCCGGCAGAAATGTCTATGGCGCCACCTCCTCCTCGCCCAGTTAGCCAAGATGCTTTCCGAATTAATACTAGAAAACACAGCAATTTAATAACTGTACCTATTCAAGATGATTCTAATTCTGGGGCCAGAGAAGCTCCTCAGGGACCTGGTCCAGCTCTTCACCATCCTGAGTATCCTGGTCAACCTGTGGTATCACACCCTCACCATATTATGCCTCCACAGCAACATTATGCTCCTCCCCCTCCACCCCCTCCTCCAATTAATCATCCAATGCAACACCCACCTCAGGCTGCTGGTACACCTCATATGGTATATAGTCAAGGACCCCCTCCACCTATGACGTCTGCTCCTCCACCAATTACCCCTCCACCTGGACATATAATATCTCAGATGCCACCATACATGAATCATCCACCACCAGGACCTCCACCACCCCAGCATGGTGGTCCACCTGTAAATGCCCCTCCTCCACATCATTACAATCCTAACCCTTTGCCACAGTTTAATGAAGAGCAAGGAACTCTCAGCCCACCTTTCACACAACCTGGGGGCATGAGTCCAGGCATATGGCCTGCACCTAGAGGACCACCGCCACCTCCGCGAATGCAGGGTCCTCCGACCCAAGCACCTATTCCTGGACAGCATCATCCTGATCAGGCTCGGTACAGGCCCTATTATCAGTGATTTGTGTATACTGAACTTGCTAGATTTCTTTTTATGCTTCATTTGAGAACTTACATTAATATGTATAGACACTTTGTAACTTTGTTGAAGCTTCTTGTGCATACATTTATTAAGTTCGATATTCTCCTATTCCTAATTATGCCATTGTGCATACATAATGCAAAGTAATTTTTTTTGTGTATGTGTTCTCATTGTATAGCACTAACAATTTTCTTTGTCTTTTACCACTTCTGAATCTTTTTTGCTACAGCACGATTAGGTATCATTTGTGATGCTTTTCTGAATGTATGTTTAGATGTACAGTTGTATCCTTTTACTTTCCAAGATGGTGTGAATAATATGCAGTAACAACTGCTTTATTGTATCCTGGTATTTTTTACCAGTGGTCAAATAAAAACTGTTCCCACAAGTTTCGCAGCTTTCCCGCACATTTGTTTTCAGTGCAAGCTGAACAAAGTCTGTACTTTTTATGTATATAGTTGGTATGATAAGTCACATTTTATTTGTTTAAAAGACAAAAAAAATCATGAAAGAATACAAGTTCAATCTAAGAGGAGTGTGTGGGGATCACAATCATTTTTATTAATGTATCTTCTGAGGTAATATATTTTGTTTCTCCATATCAATAGACTAAGATCCCTCCAAGTGTGCTGCTTAGGTAGGGCTCATGCTACTGATTTGGAATGTGTGGTCCCTTTTTAAACATCAATAGCAAAAGTGAGTGGGCAATTCTTGAACGGGAAGTTTCAGATTTTCTGGTTTGGCTAATGTAGGGGGAGTCAAGCACTTACTATCGTGTGTGTGTGTGTGTATATATG